GGTATTGAACCGGACGACAAAATAAAAGACAACAGGAGTTTAATTTGGAGAAAAGATTTCTCAACGAACTGTATTCACTTTCAGTTTGGTGCAGGTCTGTCAAAGAGCAAAAAACAACAACACACCAAATAAGTTCCGGGTAAAACTATTTGTGTTTCTTCACAAAAGAGGATCCGAATGTGGGACATTTATTATTTTGGTTAATTATTGTCTTATAAATTCCATGATGAGCCAGTAATCAGAGTTTAAACACATGATAGCCGGAATGCATACGGGATAGAACAGTGGTTATTCATATAGCAGTATCAAAGACGATTATGTCACACTTGTGCGTCAGTCTCTGTTGACCGAGTTCAAGTGCATTTTACGAGACCATCAAATACAGCGTCGTCGTTGTGTCGCTAAATCCCCTTTGTAGGAAATTATTGTTATGTTGATACAAACTCTCAACAAGATAAAAATAAGCAGAATTTTGTTACACATTGTGCAGCAGAATAATTTTGTGAGTGAAGCTTTTTTCATCCAGTAACTATGTAAACATTTTTATCGTGCATGGACTGGCAATAAAAGTACCCTAACTCCTGCAAGAATTTCATTCCGTGGGTGTGCATAGCTTTGAAACTGAGTGGGTGTATTTGAATGTGTACTCAACGTTTCACGTGTATGTGTGTGTATGACGCAATGTGAAAAGTGACGAGATCGATACCTGCGTACACTGAGCGGGACAGAGAGGGGGCACAGCGTGAATTGGAGCAAAACGCCGCCATGTTAACACCGCGTAAGTACAGAAATCAGCAGGAATAAAGTAGCGAATTTCAAACGAACCGGGAAGCTTATTTCGAATTGGAGGAGCGCTGCGACCGCGTTTAACAGTTTTCGACAATTGAGGCCTGGTGTGAAAAGAAAACTAATTTGCATTGTGATCAACATCCGGTTATGAAAATGGAATATGATTTTTTCTCATTCTGTAATTATTTTTTTCTCCTATGCATTATGATTTAAATTGTGAAGCACTAGACAGTGGATGAATGAGCACAAACGCGCTTCTTCGCTACTGAGTTTTTCTTACAATGTGGCAAGGGTACATTTGAACAATGCGCACTTAGGTAATCCTGTTAAAACTGTGAAATCACGTTCTGAATGTGAATCAATGACAGTTTCAAAGACATCACGTAATTCCCTCGAATGTCCATCTACTTTGTTAACAAACCCTGAGAACCTGCTTCGTCCACACCTTAAATGTCCGATTTTGTTGGGATAAGGAATAATTGGCATAGTAAGCTACGTAATGAACTTTAAATGCCTTGGCATGATTGACAAACACCATTTCATTAATGTGATACATTCGGTAAAGTTTCCCGCAGGTTTTGAATGATGGCACTTGTGCTAACCGGTGCCAGTGGCTGACTTTGCCAGGAGCATGCAGTCTCTCCCTGTTGGACGAACAATCATCTCACTGAAATCATATCACATTTTCCATCCCCTTCACACTGATCAAAGTATATTCACCTTTGGTTAACTCGTATTTTCATCCAGTGACCTTTTGTGTTCCGTCTTTTTGCCAGTAAAGCAACAATGGCTTCTTTTTTGCGCATCATTTTCTAAAACTTAATTACAAATTTTCTTAAAATTACTTGAGTAAATGCTTATCACATCTAACCCGGAAGGAAGATAAAATTTTAGCCCACATTTAACGAAATTAATGCGATACGAAATTCTCAATAGCCCATCTCGATAATACTAAATTTACTGAGCGATTATTAAATAGATATTGGATGGAAAGAATAATAAATTAAACAGTTCCTAAGATTATCGGGAATCAAATTGATGTTTTTGCATTTCCAGCACCAAAGTGAGACAAAATACAAGTGGTTAGCGCAGCCTTTTATGTTCGGGTTCGAGTCTCAGTGGACCCGAAGAATAGCAATTTTACGGAATTTCAGGGGTGGGTGACAGGTTGAGTTTGCACTAAGAATAAGCCTATCACAGACACTCGAACACCTTTCGCTGATTATGAGTTGTAATCACAATCGCAAAAGATGCAAAACTAGGGTGCTATTCCATCACAATCAACCGAAGGTGGTCAAACCAAGACTGAGCATGAGAGTGTGAAAACCCCAAACAGGGGACTCGGCCAGATAAGTCGCGTTAGACCTCTCGGTGAGGGACCTCGTTATTAGTAAGGTCGATTATCTTAAGCAGTAGTATTTGTGTACACACTCAATTCCGTTACAAAGTTAGTCTGCTGAAATTCTCTACTTTCACCATACTATTGCTTACAGCTTTAAATCTAGTAAGTCCATTCCTTCGTAAAAATGGATAACCAAACATAACAACCAAAGCTCTGCGCGTAAGCGAAAGATTATCGGTTGAATAGATTGAAAATGAATCTGTAACTTTTTTGGTCCGTACAACTGTAACAACAGACCCAACCGGAAATCACCACAAGTTTGCGCACTGTCTAATTTCCCACATATGATCGGGTGGATGCAAACGCACTCAGAACAAGGGAAGTAACAATTTTCTCTGGGAAGCACTGGTGTTCTCAGCAAACATGCCGTTAGAAGCCTCCTCCTCCATTTCTCATGTGTGTTTCTCGCTTCAAGTGGGCGAGTACATTGTGTAACAAAGGCACGCATCAATTTTGTGCGACAAACAAATGGCGCTTGTACCGAGCACACTTAAAACACTATTCGGTTGCCCCAAGACGAAAACAAACAATATTTATTACACGTCCGAATACTACACGGTGAGAACCGTACATTCCATTTAACAGCTGACTCCATTCTCAAAAAAGTAGGTAGCACTTGACGTAAAAGAATTGGAAAATGACAACAGGAAAGTAAAGTAAAAAAATCAGTCAATGAATCTAAAAGTAAAAACAGAATGAGATTGACAAGGGTTTTCAGGATGCATGTTTAAAATGTATATCACCTAGCTACGACCTCTATCGCAAAATAAACACGTTAAGAGAGCAAAAAAGATCGTAAAAGAGAAAAGTGATGCGTCAAGGAGAGTGTGGTCGAATAAGTATGCTTCGAAATGAAATAGTTGAACTAATTTTTCCGCGAGCGAAAGCGCCTATAGGAATCTGCTTTTGTGTACTGGAAAAAAACGAATTCTGCTTACACGAGTCAGAAAACCGATGAATTCCCAACAGGTAAGCAAAAACGTTCATAAGAGAAAAAGACTTCGTATAAGAGATAGACAACAACTTTAAACATTTCGCAAAAGTTAAGTTTGTGGATAGAAAGTTAGAACAAACAAATCAAAAAGTCGTGAAGTATAAATGAAAACCTACCCTAAAGCCCGAGCACCCCTTTATCCTATCTGTAAGCGCCGAAAGGAAATGTTGCTAGATGTAAGTATTTCATTAATTTTATCGGTCGACAATGCACAAAAGAAACCTTTCTGACCAATGGCAGATATTCGGAAAAGTTTGTCGGGCAACATTAAAGCAGCACAAAGACAACCAAAGACCAATCCAGAACCGAATGACAGAAGTGAAACAAGTTTTTATGTT